TATGTTAGTCCCGAAATGACCTAGTTTGTGTCGAGTGGACGTTAAACCCACAGCGAATATGGAATTTTCCGATGACCATGCATAGATTGCCCTCATTTCTAAGCCAATCAACGCTGGGAATCTTATTGCCGTGTACGGTTCCATGCACTACGGGCGTAGTAACTGAGGTTAAATTGCATGGGATTCATGGACATGAATATCAAATACATTTGATCATATGCAGAGTTCCTGGTGCCGTTTGGTGAGTTATTAAACTGTCAATGCAATTGTAAAATAATTTCATTATAAAGAAGATTTCATATCAAGTCAATTAAATGTTGTTTAAACGCCAGTCAACAAATAATACGAGGCTACTTGATTACAAAAACACCGGCGAGCAATAAGTATTGAGTAAATAATATTATAAACAACTGATGAGTAAAACTTAACTATTTTATACAATTAATATGTGTGTGTACGATTCTACCATTAGTTTATTCGTGGGTACTACGCACATTATAAAGAAGATTTCATATCAAGTCAATTAAATGTTGTTTAAACGCCAGTCAACAAATAATACGAGGCTACTTGATTACAAAAACACCGGCGAGCAATAATTATTGAGTAAATAATAATTATAAACAACTGATGAGTAAAACTTAATTATTTTATACAATTAATATGTGTGTGTACGATTCTACCATTAGTTTATTCGTGGGTACTATGCACACGTTTCACCTTGAGTGATGTCTTTGATCTGGCCGGCGTAAAAAAGATAATTACCTAATCAGCATTCTTAATTCCACTAACAAATACTGCTAACACCGAGATGTAAATTAATTTATGACCCCCAAGTCTGTATAACTTTAGTCGGATTGATTAATTAATGACAGATATTTCTGTTATATATTATTATCAATACACAAAGATAGTTAGACGACCCTTCTCAATCTGTCTGTTATTCCATTTAGATGGTTACCAACAAAATTTATTTGTACTGTTAATTCTAAAGTATATTGAGATATTTTTTCGTATTTCATTTTTATGGTCTATTTCAGAGTAATGAAGTCAAATCCGCCGTATGATGATAACGGACCGTCATTTACAAATCGCTTTTCAATCATGTTTGACTTTTATGATACATTTTACATGACCACATCTTTTTACCCCTGTACTCTTTTACTCGGGGAAATTAGAACCACAATACTCTTTTGACGAAAATGTATCTCGAATCGATTGGACTGCACACGATGTAAGAGGGTATTAAAATTGCTGTCGTGAGAAACGAGAGTGACCGTACATTATGAAACAAATTCGAAATTGGATCTTAAATTAAAATTAATTATAAAACAAATTATTCCTTAGTCAATTGTTTTATTTCATTAGGGGGATTAAGGAATCAGTCAGGCGTTAATGAGTACACACGCCGGCTGTATATAGCTAATTAAGGAATAAACATTCCGAATATGCATTCGATCACTGTGACGTCACTGGCGTCTGAGGGGATTAAGAGTGTTTTCGATAATTGGCAAAGTCGATTTTACGGGAGGTTCATTTTTACGACTTTGAGTGAAGATAACTGAATTAATTTCAATCAGATTGGTGTGAACTTGCCGTAAAGTTGATATAGTAACCATTGGCTACACATATCCAAAAGTTCCCAAACCCATCTTATGTGCACTTTAAGGTCGTACAACAAAGAAGCCCAGTGGTTTTCAATGATTTCCGATAATTACTACCAGAGTTATGGTCCTTGATCACTTTGAAAATTCTTGTGGATGCTCTAGAGACCAAAGTTATCATCTGATTCACTCTGGATTGATAAACAGAGTTTAAGGTCTTGAGACGAACAAGTATATTAATTTTCAATGAATTTTGATAACTTGAACAGCTCAATTCATGATATTAAATGTTTCGTACATTATTAAGTTATTATTACAACTTCATTTGTTCTTGAAAACAACAAGAGACATGTGTGTAAACAAGTGATTGTTTTCCATATAAATTGTGTTGTGTTTTTTTAACTTCAATAACTTTTTGACTTCAAATCATTGTGTAGCTCTGTCTATGGGCATTTAAGAAATAACTATAAACAGATCCTGTGTCCACACATTTAATTCAATTAACAATTTTATTTTTTGTCCAGATCAAATAGATCATATCATTTTAATTAAGTTAATATTAATACATGTAGCCTACTTGATTGTTGAGAAAATGTTTAGTAAATAATCTTAAAGATACATTATGGGAGATAAGATAAAGGGATTGCAGTTCTCGCTATACTAGTTAAAAACTACATAGTGTAAAGGTAATTTGCTGAAAATTTCAGTCAAATTGATCCACTATGAGCCGAGAAAGAAGCGGGTGAAATTTTTGCATAGTCTCGGTCATCATTACTAAAATCATTAATATTAACAGCATAGTCTCGATTATCCACTTTTTTTTTATTTAATTATCAATGGCCATTAGCGGCATATAGGAATCTAATCCAGCCAACATCGAAGGCTAGCCTTGACATCGAGAGTTTATTATGGTCTGGATAAGTTAATTAATGTCTAATTGATAATTTAGATAACATTTCAGGCCTAAAGAAAGACTTGTAATAAGCAGATTTTGCTCTTGCATAATGCATGTTTAATTATAGTTTTACATAGTTTTAAAAATTGTCTAATAGAAGCAACAAAATCCATCATGTGGCGTAAACAATGCACGTCATCCAGGAGTTCCATTTACTCCAAAAACCGGGCGTGCCGTGAACACTAATCAATTTGCTAATGGAAAAACAATGGCGCACTGTCAGTGACGTAATATTGGCGTAGGTACTTTTTAATTTGTGTTAAGTGTGCATTATCAATAAAGAACAAAAACGAAACTTAAATCATTAGAAAGGTAATTTAATGGACTTTTTAGTCATATAGTTTAAAATATACTATTCAAAAAAAGTAGGGGATATTTGATTTTTAAGTGTTATTAAAGTCACCTAATGAAACTGACGAAGAAACAAATGACAAAATGAAATGAAGTTCACATTCATCGATTTATTCCAAATGATCGTTAGACTAAGTAAGGCACAGACTGACCATTATAAGGGTAAAATGATACCCGGGGTCAAACAGCAAAGTTACCACAGCATCACAACCAAGTCAGTAACGGGTAAATCCTCCTCTGTTTGCCAAACAAGCATTGATCCGACGTGGTATACTCCTAATGAGACGTCTAAGGTCATTTTGGTCCAGATTGTCCCATTCCTGTTGCAACGCAGCAGCAAGTTCTTGGACATTGGCAGGACGTTGTTGACGTTGTTGACGTTGACGTAACCTCTGTCCAAGCATGTCCCAGACATGCTCGATGGGGGAGAGGTCGGGACTCAGTGCTGGCCAAGGTAATGTGGTGATGTTCTGTTGTTGGAGGTAACCTGTAACGATCCTGGCCCTGTGACATCTTGCGTTGTCATCCTGGAAGATAAAACGGCGGCCATGACGTCGTGCGAACGGCACAACATGGACTGCCAAGATGTTGTCCCGGTAGTACTGGCCTGTAACACGCCCTGCAACAACATGTAAAGCCGTTCTTCCAGCAACAGTGATGCCTCCCCACACCATAACAGAACCACCCCCAAATCGATCATGTCTGATGACGTTAACGTCTTGGAAGCGCTCGTTTCGACGACGCCACACCCTCCTACGTCTGTCCAAAAAATCAACAGTGAACCTTGACTCATCTGAAAACATCACATTGCTCCAGCGTCGATTATCCCAGTGTTGACGATCCCTACACCAACGACGTCTTGCCTGAATGTGATGATCTCTCAAACAAGGGATCACGCGAGGACGTCGGACGCGAAGGTGACCCCTATGCAGTCGATTCCGAATCGTCTGGCCACTCACTCTCACACCAGTGTCTGTTTGAAGACGAGCGCTAATCTGATTTGCTGTGATGACACGATTTCTCAAGGCCAAGGTACGGATAAATCGATCCTGGGCTTGAGTTGTCGCCCTTGGTCGACCTGAGCGTGGTCTGTCCTGTACAGATTGTGTATCACGGTATCTGGACCATAGCCTGCTTATGACAGACTGAGAAACATTCATCGTCCGCGCCACAACCGCCTGTGTTGTGCCGATCTGTAGCATGCCAAGGGCACGTAACCTTTCATTTTGGGTAAGCCGACGCATATCAAAATTTGTTTTCTGGTCACTAAAACAATTAAACTGATGTTTCCACCCTGGAATTCAATGCCACAATGACTGTAACATTCAAAGTCAGAGTCGTGCAAATCTTGGGTTGGACCCCCATGATGATCCCAAGCATCACCTGCATTCCATGCGGTAGCTATTGGTGCGTTTGCGCGTCACATGTAACTGGAAATGTTTCTTCTGTTAGGTTCTATAGTGACTTTTTTCGTAGTCATTTGCATATTTTAGTATTATGCCCCCAAAATCAAATATCCCCTACTTTTTTTGAATAGTATATGTAGACTCGATCAAAAAGTGAGTTTTATATCGGTTAGTATTTGTTGGCTCTCTGTTCGACAGGATTGTAGGACACGAGTCAATACGCTGACTGGGTGTCACACAGCCCTGAGGAAAGATATTGTAATGCTACTTTTAGAATGGTTGGTATTTTTCTTTAGATTGAAATTGACTAAACATATGGTCAACTAGAACTGTGATGCAGTGATGATGGGTTTCATCGGTGCCATGTTACTCTTGAAATGATGTTACTACCCAAAACAATGAAAACGTTAAATTGGATTTCCACATTTGGATTGCTCACGTGGAATAATTAGCCAGTAAATCCAGCAATATCAGTTCCATTTATACAACAAAGTCTCAACACGATGACATCACTTCCGTTATCAGCAAATATTTAAATTGGATTACAGAAATAACCACTTCATTTGTCCTTTGCATGACAGAAAATTGATTAAAATTCAAACAGAATTAACCCTTATTAGATTGTGTAAAACCTTAAAAAGTGATACTGACAAAATTGGTTATGTAGTACAGATAATTATTTTATAGGAATTGTATCAAGATGTGGGTGTCCGAGTGAGTGGATTTATGGGAAATTTCAATGCATCAGGTGGTTTTAGTAATGTTGATGTTGCTGTGTGTACTATAGAAAAAGGTAACAGTCTGATAAATAGATTACTAATAGAAGACAGAATAAAAGAGCTTGGTGAGTGTGAATTTAGAAATAAACAATTGTGTGTTTTGATCATCTTGAAAACTTTACATACATATACCTATAATTATCGCCTACCCTCATGGCCATGCTCTAGCTATGCGAAACGTGTTCCCACCATGATCTCGCCGTTAGCAGTCAGCTATAGGGATACGTTCTCACCTAGCTACGAGAATGTAACTAAAAACATTGAGTAATACTGATGTGCTTGTTTTTAGCTACGATTGGGTGCCTTTAGTTTCACCTGGCAAACTTAATTTCTTTATTAATGCATGTACCATCTTAAAAATAAGTTAATTTTATACTATTAGTACTTATTACACATATGCAGCTCAATCTACTGAAACAACATTCATTTATCAGCAAATATTGACAATAAAAGTAAACCAAGCGTTGTTTTTTATACGCCCACATGGAAATGTGGTTGTATATTGCCGTCGCCCCCGCCAGTCCGGACGGACGTCCGTCCGTCCGTCCATCAGTCGTCCACAATTTCTTGTGAACACACTACAGACTACATTTATCATCTGATTGTTAAGAAATTGATATATGTTGTTTGCATTAGTGAGATAAAGAAGCCTATTTGATTTCAATAACTTCCATTATTTTCTTCTGGTGTTATTGCCCTTGTTTCACTTTGTTGCACCTTTTGAACGCTCCAACGACAAAAGTTATTAACCGATCTGTATGAAATTTATATGCATCATATAAATTAGTAAAACAAAGAAGCCTATTGAATTTCAGCAATTTCCGTTAATTACATCTAGAGTTATGGCCCTTGTCTCACTTTGTTGAATGTTGTGAACGCTCTTACGACAACAGTTATTATCCGATCTGTTTGAAATTGACATGCATCATTTAAATTAGTGAAATGAAGAAGCCTATTGAATTTCAGCAATTTCCGTTAATTATGCCGTGAGTTATCACCCTTGTTTCACTTTGTTGTACCTTGTGAATGCTCTAACGACAAAAGTTATTATCCGATCTGTATGAAATTTATATGCATTATTTAAATTAGTAAAACAAAGAAGCCTATTGAATTTCAGCAATTTCTGTTAATTACATCTAGAGTTGTGGCCCTTGTTTCACTTTGTTTAATCTTGTGAACGCTCTAATGACAACAGTTATCATCCGATCTGTTTGAAATTGATATGCATCATTTAAATTAGTGAAAAGAAGAAGCCTATTGAATTTCAGCAATTTTCGTCAATTCGCCGGTAGTTCCGGCCCTTGTTTCACTTTGTTGTACCTTGTGAATGCTCTAGCGGCAAAAGTTATTATCCGATCCGTATGAAATTTATATGCATCATTTAAATTAGTGAAACAAAGAACCCTTTTGAATTTCAGCAATTTCCATAAATTACATCTAGAGTTATGGCCCTTGTTTCACTTTGTGGAATTTTGTGAACGCTCTAATGTCAACAGTTATCATCCGATCTGCTTGAAATTGATATGCGTCATTTAAATTAGTGCAACGAAGAAGCCTATTGAATTTTAGCAATTTCCATTAATTACGACGCGAGTTATGGCCCTTGTTTCACTTTGTTGTACCTTGTGAATGCTCTAACGACAAAAGTTATTATCCGATCTGTATGAAATTTATATGTATTGTTTAAATTGTGTTATTTCCCGGGGTCAAAGGATTTTTAAGAGGGAGAATAATACCTATTATCGTAGAATAGTGAGTTGACAACCTATTGAGCAAAAGACATAGAAATAATTATGTTTTGACTTTCTTAGAAAATATGAAAGTTCTCATCCTAGCTTTCTGAAATTTATATGCATTATTTAAATTAGTGAAATGAAGAAGCCTATTGAATGTCATCAATTTCTGTCAATTACTTCTAGAGTTATGGCCCTTGTTTTACTTTGTTGAACCTTGTGAACATTCGAATGACAAAAGTTATCATCCGATCTGTATGAAATTTATATTTCATTAATTATTTTATCCTGATACCATAGACAACTACTTAATCAATATAAGCACAACATCCCATTTTGCTACCAAAAATAGCTGCAATCCCATTGTGATCATTTTACACAATTGTAAATGACAGAAATGGAATCTTTGCCCCGAAAAAATATATCCTGTTACCATAGCTGACTACTTAATCAATATCAGCACATCATTACATTTTCCCGCCAAAAATTGCGGCCACCTTTGAAATATGCAAAATAGGTGAACTTGTGATCATTTTACACAGTTCTAACTATCAGAAATAGAATCTGTGCCGTTGAAAACATATATATTGGCACCATAAAGACGACACCGTCCCATTCCCCCCCCCCCCCCCAAAATGGCCACCATCTTTGACATGTGCAAAATAGGTGAATATGTGATCATTTTACACAGTTGTAACCATTAGAAATGGAATCTGTGCCCCTGAAAACATATGTATTGATACTAAACACTATTACCTAATCAAAATCAGTATATCGTCTGATTTCCCCACCAAAAATGGTTGCCATTTTGGAAATATCTTTATGATGTGATGGAAAACTATCTGAAATGTAGTCACGACCCCTGCCAATATTAATACATTGCCAAATCACGGTTGAAATGTCGATAACATTATAAATAAGGTGAAAATAAAAAGGTAAGTTAGAATATTATCGCAAAATGGCTACCCTCTAATAATGGCCTCACATACCATGAAGAAATGTCAAATTTGAGTTCAAATTTTGTGAAAATCTGACCCAAATTGTCGGACAAAATGGACGCTCCTTGTACTTAAATAGTGTAAAAGTATGTAATACCAAGGTTGTGGACACTCTAGATGTCACAATTTTTATCTGAATTTGATTAAACTTAAAATATATCTTTATATCCCAAATATCTCAATCCATTTCGATATTCGCGCATTTCAGACCATATCTTCCCGGATTATGGCCCCTGATTGTGCGAAAAATCACCTCTTGTGACCTGTGACCTGTACAGTGCCCACAAACAAACTGTGGACAGACGGACAAACAGACATGAGGACAGACAGGGACGACGACAATATACATCCACATGAAAATGTGGGCGTATAAATAATATTTAAATTAAGAAATGTTCAGGCAATCTATTGAACTTGCAAATTTTTATTTGTTGAACATTCGATCCCAGTAGAAATATTAAATCATATTTTACTCATGTTATAAGTGTTTTCTGACCATCAGAATTCTGTAAAATCTTCTCCCAAAGTCCAGGAAATGGCATTTCAGGGACTCTAGATTCCAAAAAATTCCATGGGTGTGGGGTTGGGGCACCCCTGGACCCCCTAGAAAACTCACACTTGTGGTGCTCGGCTCCTGACTGAGTCACTCGTATTAGGGGCAAGTGCATAAGGCGGTCGCATTTTTGCTAAACACCCCCTCAAACTAAAGTGTTATGTACGCCCCTATGCACGTAAAAGATACCTTGGCAGTTGGAATTTGATATAAGAGTAGCACACTCTGAGTATAGATTCATTATATCAATACCTTGACTAAGTTCGATGATGAGAATTTTCTGCTTAGGCTACGTAGCGATAAGCAATTTGATTGGACAAGGTTTTGGAACATAGCAACTCTGCTTTTAATTGCGGTAGAATGTTTAAACTTGGTGTGTATGTCTTGACTGAGTTCAATGATTAACATTTCTCGCTAAAGCTAAGCAGACCTAAGCAGTTTCATTGGTCGATGCTTTGGGACAAGATAGCTTTGATTCTAACTGATGGAGAGTGATGAGTGATGAAACTTAGTGTATAGAGATTCATTGGGTCAATACTGTAGAAATAGATCAAGAAATTATCAAATCAGGATATATATAGCAAAAGCAATGTCTGAATTTGTTTTGGTTAACACTATTGTTGTCTGGAGACTATATCTTGTCATTTTATCTAGCGTTACATTAGTTACATTATGTCATCAATACTGACTTCAACACTACTTTAAAAATGCTTTTGACCTCACTCACTATAACTGCATATTTTGTATTGAAAACTCCTTCAGGTGCTGTTGTGGTTGATGAATTGCATATGGTCAGTGATACAAGTAGAGGATATCTCTTGGAATTGCTGCTAACAAAGATTTGTTATGTAGCCAGAAAGTGTGAGCCAGTCAAAGAAATGTAAGCAATTAATATGTCAGACTTGTAACATGGACGCTAAATCTTCCTTTGTTCTTTTCGTTGAATAAGCAGATTGTTTTCCCTCTAGTAGATTTGATGGAGCTTAACCGTGCAATAACTAGACATGTTCAATGTTATTGCACTCTTTTGCTGGTTTACACATTAGTTTTAGTAGAAATTATATAGAGAAGTGGGGTAGGTTTTGTGTGCAATAACAACAAGCGTGTTCAGCAGGTGTTAATGGTACAAGTCATTTATAGCATGCTTCATTCGTTAACAGGTTTAACATCTCGACTTGCGGTCTCGATGTTTAAACCTGTTAACTCATATAAGCCGTGCTATAAATATAACTTGTCTTACAGTTGCTCAGTAAAAATATCTGCTTCTAGTTCTGGTTTGACAATAAGCAGTTATCACCTATCTTTTTGTCCCCCGCCTTTCGAAGAAAGCAGGGGACTATTAAAATGGGTTCGTCCGTCTGTCTGTCCGTCTGTCTGTCCGTCACACTTTTTGGGACACAATAACTCTCTTCCTAATTGAGCTAGAATGTTCAAACTTGGTGTATGTGTTTATTAGGTCAATGCCTTGATGGAGTTCGAAGATGAGCATTTTCCGCTTAGGGTAAGTAGAGATAAGCAATTTGATTGGTTGATGCTTTGGGACACGATAACTCTCTTCCTAATTGGGCTAGAATGTTCAAACTTGGTGTATGTGTTGATTAGGTCAATGCCTTGATGGAGTTCGAAGATGAGCATTTTCCGCTTAGGGTAAGCAGAGATAAGCAATTTGATTGGTTGATGCTTTGGGACACGATAACTTTTAATTGAGCTAGAATGTTCAAACTTGGTGTATGTGTTTATTAGGTCAATGCCTTGATGGAGTTCGAAGATGAGCATTTTCCGCTTAGGGTAAGCAGAGATAAGCAATTTGATTGGTTGATGCTTTGGGACACGATAACTCTCTTCCTAATTGAGCTAGAATGTTCTATCTTGGTGTATGTGTTTATTAGGTCAATACCTTGATGGAGTTCGAAGATGAGCATTTTCCGCTTAGGGTAAGCAGAGATAAGCAATTTGATTGGTTGATACTTTGGGGCACGATAACTCTCTTCCTAATTGAGCTAGAATGTTCAAACTTGGTGTATGTGTTGATTAGGTCAATGCCTTGATGGAGTTCGAAGATGAGCATTTTCCGCTTAGGGTAAGCAGAGATAAGCAATTTGATTGGTTGATGCTTTTGGACACGATAACTTTAGTTCTAATTAAGTGAGATTGATGAAACTTGGTGTATAGTTTCATTACAGTAATACCTTGACTAAGTTTGATAATGAGCATTTTCTGCTCAGGGTAAGCAGAGCGATACGCAATTTGATTGGTCGAGACTTTGGAAAACAATAACTCTCCTACTTTGATTGTCCCCCGCCTTTCGAAGAAAGCAGGGAACTATTAAAATGGGTTCGTCCGTCTGTCTGTTTGTCTGTCTGTCCGTTCCGCTTATGGTAAGCAGAGATAAACAATTTGATTGGTTGATCTTCGAATTGAGTAAATGTTCATGCTTATTGTCCCCGCCTTTCGAAGAAAGCAGGGAACTATTAAAATGGGTTCGTCCGTCTGTCTGTTTGTCTGTCCGTTCCGCTTAGGGTAAGCAGAGATAAACAATTTGATTGGTTGATGCTTTGGGACACTATAACTTTAGTTCTAATTAAGTAGATAAACAATTTGATTGGTTGATGCTTTGGGACACTATAACTTTAGTTCTAATTAAGTGAGAGTGATGAAACTTGGTGTATAGTTTCATTAAAGTAATACCTTGACTAAGATCGATCAATTGAGCAATTCCAATACAATCCAATACAATGAATATAGGCAAGGTAAATAAACAAATAAATGGAAAAAACAAATTGAAAAAGAAACTATTATAAATTAATTAAATATGTAGTATGCAATAATGAATTGACATTTAATGACAGAAAGAAAACAGTGAACTTTGCACAACTTGCAGCAAGATGGAAAATAGACCCGTTGATACAACCAAACTCTAGATCTGTAGGCATAGAGCATGTTTTCCCCTTAATATGCTATAATTATTCCATCAAAAACATTGTATGCTTAGACTATAAGTAAAGATATACTGTTTGATTGTTCAATACTTTGTAAAAGATAATTTGTGATAAATTTATATGTGTCCTCTAATTATTTTCCTATTTCGGCTTGTTATTATTTTTTATGCGCCCACATTTTCATGTGGGCGTATATTGTCGTCGCCACAGTCCGTCCATTCGTCTGTCCACAATTTGTTTGTGTGCACTCTACAGGTCAAATTTTTATACGCCCACATTTTTATGTGGAGGTATATTGTTATAATCCTTATAAGACATATAGAAATAGATTTCACTAAAAATAAAACACACTAGTATATCCATATAAGTGTGTTTTATTTTTAGGTATATTGTTGTCGCCCCTGTCCATCCGTCCGTCCACAATTTGTTTGTGGACACTCTACAGGTCACAATTGTTATCCGATTTTGACGAAACTTGAAATATAGGTTTATCTCCAAAAGATCTTGGTTGCTTTCGATATTGACATGTATCGGATTGAAACTTCATGGATAATGGCCCCTGTTTGTACGAAAGATCACGTTTTTAGCTTGTGGACCCTATAGAGGTCACAATTGTTATCCGATTTTGTTGAAACTTGAAATGTAAGTTTATAACCAAAAGATCTCGATTCCTGTCGATATTCGCGCATATCGGACCGTAACTTCCTGAATTATGGCCCCTGATAGTACGAAAAATCGCGTTTTTAGCTTGTGGACCATATAGAGGTCATAATTTTTATCCGATTTAAAAAAAAGTATTATTATATCACCGTTACACCCTAAGGACGGCCCAAAACTGACAGACAAAATGGCCGCCCTTCGTTCTCAAATAACGTAAAAATATGGTATATCAAGGTTGTGGACCCCATAGAGGTCACAATTTTTATCTGATTTTTTTGAAACTTGAAATGTAAGATTAAAACCCAAAGATCTCGGTTCCTTTCGATATTTGCGCATATCGGACCGTAACTTCCTGAATTATGGCCCCTGATTGTACGAAAAATCAAGTTTTTAGCTTGTGAACCCTATAGAGGTCATAATTTTTATCCGATTTAAAAGAACGTATTATTATATCACCGTTACACCCTATGGACAGCTGAGTTTGAATTTTGTGAAAATCGGCCCAAAACTGACAGACAAAATGGCCACCCTTCGTTCTCAAATAGCGTAAAAATATGGTATGTCAAGGTTGTGGACCCTATCACTGATAACTACTAAGAGGTTGATCTGTACGCAGCCCTTATATAAATCTCCGTTTGGCTTGTTTTTTGTACGTCTATCGAAAGAAAATTAATTTTCCGACTGGTACTCGGTATTGCCACGTTAAAGTTGTAAATAAGGTGCGTTAATTAACAAGGGTGAAAAACTGTCTTGAGAGGTGAGTTAAAGGGGAAGACCAACGATTTTCAACAAGGTTTCCAAAAATCTTAAATATATATTGATAAATAATCCCATCGGTAGCACAAGCAAAAACGATTTTGTAAGCGAGAAATTAATTTTTATTAAAACCGGAAGTGACATAGTTGGTTCAACACGCTCAGTGTTCTCTATATTAAGCATACAGATTTGGCAAGTTTACAGCTGTATTGTGTTCACGCGTCGTCCTTTGGTCAAAAATCTGATGAAATGGGATGTTTATTTGGATATTATAAACACGAATTTATGTTTTTTTAATGTTTAGTACACTAAGCCGCAGCATAAATTCACTCATACTGAACAGTACGCTGTGCCTCAATTCACGCTGCACATGGATAATTGTTTACATCACGTCGTTTGATTGACAACTTGCCAGTGACATGTATTTCGTCTGCTTCGATGTTTTTGTGCTTGCTGACAGCTTTTTTCAACATAAACAGATCAAAATTATGGGTATGTAAGACATATACTATAGTGCATTTTGGCACATAATGTCGGCGTGAACGGCTTTTCCCTTTTTCTTCCATTTCCTCTTGAGAATGGCTGGGGTCGAATGTTTATACGGCATTACTGTAGACCCATAGAAGAGATATTTTATATTCCAATACTTTGGTGTTTGACGTTGACAAACCTTGGAAATTTATATATTTATTTGAATATATATGTGCCACAAGTTCGTTGAAATAAATAAAAACAATGTCAGCAGACTCAGCATGCACAAAAACATTCAAGCAGACGAAACATCCAGGCCACGAAATTTCACGTGAACGATACCAATCGGTTACGTGCGGTCGCGCTACCTCAAAAACATGCGACCGATTTCCTGGTTACGCAAATTGAAATATCGGTTACGTTAACAAATTTCATTAACAGATTTATTCACATTTGATCAATTTTTATACAGGATGACTTGTGACACAGGTCTAAATTATTTGTATTATAGCACAAACTCCATTCATTCATTCTTGGCATTTCATTCCTCCATCTTACCGGTACATTGACAGATCACGTATTTTGACACCACGTAGGCTATTGACCAGTTGCAAGCAGGTGGATTTAAAAATGCCCCTCACCCCTAATTCTTTAAATGATTAGTTATGCCATAAATATTTGAAAGCGTACCTTTGGATTTTCAAACACAAAATGAGAAATGAGTTTGACTATTTAACATGTCAGCTATATTTCCAAAGAATTTACTACACGTGTTCCTTTCAGTTTTCACTACAGCCATGCTGTAGTACCAATGACCCGTATGTTTGTCGTCAACATTGACCCCCTCCCCTGCATCGCTCCAGCGATAATCTAAACGATTTTACTGCCCTGTCTATTTTAATATTATTTCATGACATCAAACTATTCTGTTTCCTTTTGAGACTTTGTGTATAGAGTGCCGAGGTTTATAAATACTGTTTGTCAATCAGTCACTACCTATGAGTGAGGCTATCTCATGCTACAGTACGTGCTTGGATGAATGATTGCAAGTGAC